CTATTAAATATAGATGGAAAGCTATAAATAATAACTGTGGTCTGGATCATATACTGCATATAATTGTTAATTTCTAAAAACAAAAAATATATTTTGAAAATAGCATAAAAGCTAATATCTTACAGTGAGCGTCTTAAAACATTCTTCCACTTTCAACTGTCTGTAAAGAGAGTGAACAGGGCCAGGTGCAGTGGTGCCTCATCCCTGTAATCCCAACACTTTGGGAGCGAGGAGGGAGAACTGCTTGAGGCCAGGCATTAGAGACCAGTCTGAGTGACACAGCAAGACCCCATCTCCACAAAAATTATAAAAATTAGCCAGGCATGGTAGCATGCACCTGTAGTCCCAGCTACTCAGAGGCTGAAGGGCAGGAGGATCACTTAAGCCCAGGAGGTCAAGGTTGCAATGAGCCGTGATCATGCCACTGCACTCCAGCCTGGGTGACAGAGCAAGACACCTTTTCCAACCCCCCCCCAAAAAAACAGAGGGTCCATAAGATTCAAGTCATTCTTCAAAACAACATATTTATAACTGTTACTGAGTATAATAGTGAAGGAATACCAGGACCCCCAAGCTGACTCAAGTCTGAAATGAAATGACGCTGTCTAGGCATGGCATAATTCATACCGGATATACTGAGCAGGAGCCAGTTTGTCAGCTGCTCGAACCGGCATGGCTGCCGCAACCTTCTGTGATACAGATTTTTCCAAGGCTACCCTTGTCTTTTCTGTTATCTGAAATAAGAAGTATTGCATTGAGTGGCTTGGAAGTGAATAAGGATGTAGAAAGTCACCTAGTATGCCAATTCCCAATTACCTCTTTAATAGCGTCTTCATCAGGTCTTTGCAGGTCTGGATCATCTGCATTCATAACCTCCTTTGGAACCAGGTCAGTGTATTTGCTATAAATGACCTAAAATGTTCAAACACAAGAAAGCTTAAGAAAAGCAGAGTATGAAAAGAAACAACCTCATTAAGTCATTTCAGATGTCAACATGTCCTCTCAGCACACTTATAAATTTAGGATACTTAGATTTTGTCTTTTAGATTTTAAAACCAAGGAAGCTTAAAACATATATACAAATTGCTACCCTGGCTTAAAGTTGATAACTTTTCCTTGACCCCATGCATTTAAGTTATTTGGGATCTTCTAATCAAGTCAGTATCCAAATAAATTGCGCCCACAAAAATCATGCATCAACGATCCCCACTTCTGAGGCTCACTAGGACTTGAAATTAATGATGATATAAATTGCCTATAGCACCATTATCTTAGATTACAAACTCATCAGAATTTAAGTCAGGTTATCAAATAATTTCCAAATTCACTGGGCCTGGAAAACTTCATTGACCTCATCCTACTTATAATGTTTCTCTTTTTATCAACTCTATTCACAGACTAAGAAAATAAACATGTATAACAGTTAAAAAAAAAACCAAACAAACCCAGAATACTTTCTTCCATGAAAAGACAAAAAGGAAAAAAAATACATTCTATATACACAACTTATTTTATACTCATTATCCAAATTTAGGGTTGTTATATGACTTCTACTAGGCCCAACATGGTTCCTACAAGGCCGACACAGATGTAATAGAATAATTTACAAATAGAATATGACTTACTTTTATGTCCATCTATACTACTCACATATTTTCATAGAAAGTTACATGGCAGATTTTAAAGTAAAAAAGAGATACTGAAAATTCAATAAATATTTAAACTTTATTGCTTTAGTCATAAATTCTTTGACACACATACAAGGAAAGGACAACTCATGAATATGAAAGAAAATCAAATGCCTAGCCGTTTGAGATCTTCAAAATTCTTTGTAGAATCGTTTACTACTACAAGACAAAGTCTACATTAGTAATTGCATTATATCATATAGCATTCCCTAAAGCAGGTCCTGCCTTGGTGGGCCTCCTCCAATTATCCTTGCTAAAGTAGCAGCCCCTTCTCACCCAATTGTTCTGCTCCTAACACTGTTTACTGTCTTCAAAGCATGAAATTATTTATTTACTTAACTTGTTTATGAAATGTCTCCTCTATTAACATAAAAATAATGATAACAGCTAATACTGCAGTGAAAAGGGAATGCTTATACACTACTGGTAGGAGTATAAATTAGTACAACCTCTATGGAAACTGGTATGGAGAATTCTCATAGAACTAAAAGTAGATCTACGACTCAATCCAGCAACCCCACTACTAATAAGGAAGAGAAGTCATTATACAAAAAAGACACCTGCACTAGCATGCTTATCACAGCACAATTCACAATTGCAAAGGAGTGGAATCAACCTAAATGCCCATCAACTGATCAGTGGATAATGAAAATATGGTGTCTACATATACATAATATGTGGAATATTATTCAGCTATTAACAAACAATGAAATAATGTCTTTTGCAGCAACTTGGATAGAACTGGAGAACATCAACCTAAGTGAACTAACACAGGAACAGAAAACAAAACACTGCATGCCTTCACTTTTAAGTGGGAGCTAAACTAAGGATCTGCAAAAGCACAGAAAGTGGTATAATGGACACTGGAGACTCAGAAGGGGAGGGGGAAGGAGTGGAGGGATGAAATATCACCCACTGGATACAATGTGCACAGGTGGGGGTGGGGCATACACTTAAAGCCCAGACTTCTTTGTCACTATACAATGCATCCATGTAACCAAAAGCTATTTCTACTTCTAAAGTTATTAAAACTAAAAGAAAGAAAAAAAAGTAGAATGGTGGTTCCTAGGGACAGGGTGGAGAGGGCCTAGGGAGTTATCATCTAATGAGTATACAAAAAATACTGTGAAGGTAGATGTGATGATGGCTACATAACAATGTGAATGTACTTAAATGCCACAGAACTGTCCACTTATAAATGATTAAAATGGTAAAAATGTTATGTACACTTTGCCACAATTAAAAAATAAAATTAAAAATAATTAAGCCTAAAATAAAAGATTGATAAATTAGCTAATATTGGCCAGGTGCGGTGGCTCACACCTATAATCCCAGCACTTTAGGAGACTGAGGCAAGAAGATTGTCTGAACTCATGGGTTCGAGATGAGCCTGGGCAACTTGGTGAGACCTCATCTCTACAATGAGACCTCATCTCCACAGTAAATAAAAAAATTAGCCAGGCATGGTGGCACATGCCTGTAGTTCTAGCTATTTGGAAGGCTGAGGCAGAAGGATCACCTGAGCCTAGCAGATTGAGGCTGTGGTGGCCGTGAGTGTGCCACTGCACTCCAGCCTGGGCGACAGAGTAAGACTCCAACTCAGAAAAAGAAAAAAAGAATGCCATTGCTCTGCTAAGCTACGGTCTGGCCACATGCCCTTTGAGCTGTGGCCGCCATGTTTCTTAAGTTTTGGTCCCCTCTCCTACCTAGGAGAGGTGAATTTCTTGTTTCTCATCTCTCTCTCTCTCTAATGTACTTTCCAAATAAACTGTATTTTCTAATCTAAGAAAATAAAAAAATTAGCTAATAATTATTGAGCACATATTGTCACATATTGCCACTGGGGTTTACAAACTCACACACACACTAATGTAACCTTTGTGTCAACCCTCAAGGTATGCACAATGATTATACCCATATTACTCTTAAGGGTGCCTCCAGTGCCTGTAACAATGACTGGCCCACAAGAGATATTTTTTGTACAAATGAATGAATGAATTTTAGAGATGCTCTATTACAAGCTAAAAGTGTTTATATTTTAGGCCCTACAAAACTTTCTATAAGCTCTTGATTTCCAGGGGTGTGGCAGGGGGGAATGGGGGGTATACACTGAAATCCCTAGCTAGCTTTTCTCAGGAATGAGAAGAAAAGTACAGATGACTTAGCACAAAACATGTACTATTGATATGGGAGCTATTTGTATCACTCTCCTCTATTGAGAGTGAATCTAAAGCTCACGCTAGTGAGAAGAGTGAGGCTCATCAGCACATTAAGATCATATAGCTATTAACTGAACTCAAAAGTCTTACTTCCTTTCAAGATGGAAAAAATCCATACCACCAGAAATTGAAAACTATATAACAATGCTCTAAAAAAAAATACCAAGACTATAGAGAGTTAATCACTTTTATACAGCAATCATTACAGGAAGGGATTCTACGTAATGGTTCCTGGGAAGTCATGTATGTTCAACATAAACTCTCAATACTAATTTAGCATACAAGAGCCATTTGCTGTTTCTTATTTGGGTATTCCAAAGTTAATAACCCTTTAAATGAGCATCAATAAGATTCTGGCATCTCACAAGGCTGAGTGAAGGGCATCTGAAGAGCAAGAATCCTGCATGGTAATTAACTATAAAACCTCCAGTTTTGATAGTCTGAGAATTACATGTGTTGAAGAAACTCAGTACATCCCAGGAAGCAAAAGGGCTGGGTAGGGTTATCTGAAAAATACAATATACGCTTGAAGGTATCAGAAGCACAAATGAGCTTTGTGTCCAAGATAAAGCCGTAACTCATCTGTGAAACAGGTATTTTGTTATCAAAAACTGACAAAAAACTAGATTGATTAAAACGATAAACGCGTCAACATATTCACTATGTGAGGTAGGAAAACACTATTCTTTAGGCTTAGCTAGAGTTTGTGAAATCATACAAAGTAATAACATACAATTTATTGTGGAGTCAGTTTGAAGTCATTGAGGATTTTGGGGGAGAATGGGCTGAAGGCTTTTTTTAAAGGTAATTCAAATATGTAACATTTCTTACACAACTATTTCAGAAGAAAAAATGCACACACCAAGGTCTTTATTTCAAGATTTATCACTCAGGTAATAATAAGGGGGGAAAAGCATCTAGTTCTATGAAGATTAATACCAAAAAACTTTTTTCCTCCTAGTTTTGTATTATCAGTAAGTCGCATGCATAGTATTTACTTCACATGTAAAGAAAACAAGAGCTGCAGACTTGTTCTAGAATATCACCTCTCAAAATCCTTTTGTATTCTTCTCTTATACCTCTTTTTTTAAAATTCTGGCTACAAGTTTATTCCACACAAAATAATCCTCTCCAATTTTACTGAGGTGGCTGATCACGTCCACGACCAAATCCGCCTCTAAACTGGAATTCAGTTGCTGACCCAGCCCCAGCCTCGGCTTTCTTGTCAGCACCAGGGAGCACAGCACTCTGTCTGTAGATGTCTCTGTCAGCTTCCCCTCTTGTGAGTCTTGCAGGTCGTTCACCCTCCAGACCTTTGGGCCGAGGACTGCCAGTCTCTGGATGGCTGCGGCGCAGGGTGGCTGGCACAATCTCAGGGGGCAGGTGGAGGTAATCACGTAGATACTGGATACCCTCGTTGGTAAGGTACCAGTAGAAATGTCTCCAAGCAAACTGTTCCTTCACATAGCCTCGAGACTTGAGAGACTGCATGGCTTTCATGACATGAAGGTTGGGCACATTGTTGTCGGCCAGCTCTGGATGCTTAGGCATATGGACGTCTTTCTTGGCTACCATCATGCCCTCCTTAAAAAGGAGTTCATAGATGGCAATCCGGTTTTTCTTGGGCATCAACATCGCAACGGCTACAGAGTCCGAGGCCGAGGCTGGAAAGGAAGCTCTTACACCTCTTATACTTCTGTTCTTCAGAAGTAGTAACAGTGTAATAGCAAGAATGGAAAATGCTCTGGCAATCTTTCTACTTCAGTCTTCCAAGTAGCTAGAAACACAGGCGCAAGCCACCAGGCCTGGACTCTTATTTACTGTAGAAACAATGTCTCGCCAAGTTGCTCAGGCTGGTCTCAGACAATCCTCTTGCCTCTGCCTCCCAAAGTGCTGGGAGTACTGGCATGAGCCACTACACTCAGCCTGATAATGAATTTTAAAATCCCATTTTTTACATTAAGTAGTCAATTCTTATTTCGTCTAAAACAGAACCACCAGTGGCTTTCAAACAGGGCACCACTGCCACCTCCAACTACCAGGGCCTTTGTAAATGTATGAGGTGTTTCTGGTTAAGACAATGGAAGCACTACTGGCATTTAATAGGTAGTGTCAGCTATGTTAAACACTGTACAATGCTCAGGATGGTCCCTAACAATCAAAAAGTAGCCCCCTACAAATGCCAATGGCATGTAAAAGGTACTCAGTTGATGTTGAGTCATTAAATGCATTCTAAAACTTCATGCATTAATCTAACACTTTTGGCCGAGTGCAGTGGCTCAAGCCCGTAATATTAGCACTTTGGGAGGCCGAGGAGAGGGAGGCCTGAACCCATGGGTTTGAGACCAACCTGGGCAACTTGGCGAGACCTCATCTCTACAATAAATCAAAAAATTAGCAGGGCATGGTAGCACATGCCTGTAGTTCTGGCTACTTGGAAGGTTGAGGCGGAAAGATCACCTGAGCCCAGCAGATCAATGCTGGGATGGCCATGAGCATGCCACTGCACTCCAGCTTGGGTGACGGAGTAAGAGTTCAACTTAACAACAACAACAACAAAATCTACCACTTTTAGCAGGAAAACAAAATAACTGTATGACGCTGAGTGGTAATTCTATAAACTACCAGTTTTGGGCTCATTTCTATGGTTGCATTGTAGACAAAAAAAACAAAAAAACAAAAAAACCCACAATGCTTTAGAGACCTTATATGGCCAAAATACTGAAATCCAAAAATAAACAATTCTGTTTTAGCAGTTCTACACTATTTTTCAATACAAAATAACCATCGGAGATCGTGATTTAAAAACATTCCCTAGAAACCAGGTAAAATTCTTGGTCTCCAGTCTTGAACTACAATGCAAACGGACTAAGCATACCTGAGAAGTGCTAAGGAGAGATGGCTCGTCATGACTAGAGATGGCGGGCCAGAGGGAAACAAGAACTAGAATGACAACACACAGAGAGAGGGCAACTGGCGGTAAGTGTCACATTCGAAGTTTGACACAGTAGGTCCATACCTAAGAACTTATTTTATATAAATTCTATACAAACAGTCACATGCAAAAAAGATGTTTATATATAGATCTTGAATAAACCACTGTGTATAAAACTAAAAAAACTGAAAATCACTAATGCATAACATTAACAGAATTAGGGTATAACCACACCATGCAATCCTATATATTTTTTAAAATGAAATAGACTCAGGTTGGGCTCGGTGGCTCAGCCTGTAATCCCAGCACTTTGGGAAGCCAAGGTGAGTAGATTGCCTGAGCCCATGGGTTCGAGACCAGCCCGGGCAACTTGGCGAGACCTCATCTCTACAAAAAAAAATTTTTAAATTAGCCGGGCGTGGTAGTGCGTGGCTGCAGTTCTAGCTACTTGGAAGGCTGAGGCAGAAGGATTGCCGGAGCCCAGCGGGTCGATACTGGGGTGGCTGTGAGCATGTGTGCCACTGTACTCCAGCCTCGGCGACGGAGTGAGACTCCAACTCAAAAAAAAAAAGAAGTTGATTCATATGTACAAACTCAAAACAGGTTAAATTTTAAAAAAGCAAGTCAAAGGAAATTATGAGTTAAAAATCTCACTCATGCCAAAAAAAGTCTGTAAGTGTATACATATATATGCAAAGTGAGAGATATCTACACCCACAATAAAAGTTTGGAAAGATATTCCTCAGTGGAGTATCAGCGGTTACCTCTCAAGAGTAAAGGAGAAAAGCAGGCAGGACCGTACTTACTTATGGGACACACAGTATCTTTTACCATGAGAATATATTACTAGCGTAATTTTTTAAGACATCAATGGAATAAGGAGAAACAGAATCGCAGGCTTTCAGCATAGGCACTTAGAAAGATATTACTACCATTTACTGAGTTAAGAGAATACAACAGGTAGACTACATGGAAAATTATGTACTTAGTTTTTAATCTGGTTAAGTAGTACTTTAGAGAACTCTAGATAGACTAGCTCTTGTAGACAATAAGCCATAAGGACCAGAGCTCGGCAGACAAAGTTGGGCTAGAGACACAGAGCAGACAGACATCAACATGTGAGTGCAACTGAAGCGAAGCAGTGAATTACACTAGTTAAAGAGAAACTAGCCGGGTTCGGTGGCTCAGCCTGTAATCCCGCACCTTTGGGAGGCTGAGGTGAGTGAATTGCCTGAGCCCGCGGGTCGAGACCCGCCTGGGCAGCGAGACCTCATCTCTACAATAAATCAAAAAATCAGCCGGGCATGGTAGCACATGCCTGTAATTCCGGCTACTCGGAAGGCTGAGGCGGAAGGACTGCCGGAGCCCAGCAGGTGAGGCTGAGGTGGCTGCGAGCGGCCACTACACTCCAGTCTGGGCGACAGAGTGAGACTCCAACTCAAAAAAAAAGAGAAACTGGTGTGAAACAAAAGTGTTGCAGATTTTTCTGCCAGAGAGCATCTCAGCAAACTTGAGGTCATTTGCAGTGAATTGAAGAGTGAAAGAAAGGTGAAGAAGTAGTGAGGGCAAAAACAACTCTTGCAAGAAGCTTGAAGGAAAGTAAGAAAATTAGGCATAAATTAGGGAATAGCTTGAGGGAACACTGGGGATAGATACTCAGGGAAAAGTTTTATTTCAGAAGATAAGAAAAGCAAGCACATTTGAATGCTAACAAGAAGGACCAGCAAAGGTGGAGCAGGGAAAGACCTGAGAGGAATTAAGGATAACTTTGTTTTTCCTAAGTCAGGGTCTCACTCTGTTGCCCAGGCTGGAATGCACTGGCATGATCACAGCTCACTGCAGTCTTGACCTCCCAGACTCAGTCTCCCAAGTAGCGGGGACTACAAACAGGTACATGCTGCCACATCAGGCTTTTTTTTGTGTGTAGAGACAGGTCTTGTCATGTTGCTCAAGCTGGTCTCCAACTCCTGGCCTCAAGCTATCAATCCTCCTGCCTAGGCCTCCCAAGAGCTGGGATTATAGGTGTGAGCCACCATGCGGTCAAGAATAAAACTAATAGAGGCAGCTAGAGAAGAAAAGGGAAGGGGCTGAGATCAGAATACACATTGAAACATTAGGCTTTGACAGATGGAGGAATTCCTTACAGAAACAAGGGAAAAAGACAAGAGCAGGATAAAGAAAACTGACAATTTTTCCCAAGTCTTTAATATTCATATAGATGCAGAAGTCACCCGCTAAAGATGAGACAGGCTGACAGGAGCAGAAATTAAAGTTTGGTAGAAGTACCAAGGGAACTGAGCGGAAATAGGAAATATAAATGTGCACGACTGCATAATTGTTTTCCCTAAAAGCTCAGCGGCCATAATACAGGCGCTAAGAACAGGTAGTTAGGACTATTCTATAGGGCAAAATGAAAACAGCTGGGGGAGAGGTAAGGCTAGGTACTGAAGGCTCCCAAGTATTTTTCCCAACATCATCAATTCCAAAGATCTTTTACTTCTATCTTGAGTATTTATTTACAAGGGAATAAAACTAGGTCTTCTTAAAAATATTTCCTTGGCCCTAAGCATAGTTGCTCTGTGATGTGATTATTTTAAGTGAATTTTATTTTTGTCTCTGGATTACTTTGTAGCAGGGCATCCTAAATACAGATGGAAAATGCCAGCTTTGCACTTAATCTAGGGCAAAAGGAGTCTGTGTAATTTGTTATATTCAAATGAAAATATGTATCTGTGTAAGGACTCATACATGAAGGGAATCAGAAGAGACTACAGACAAAATTAAATTAATGTTTTAGGGCTCTGAGATTGTATATTTTTTAAAAATCTAGCATTTTAGAATGTTGGTACCATAAAATAATTGTCTTAAAAATGTAAAACCGGCCAGGCACAGTAGCTCAAGCCTGTCATTCCAGCACTTTGGGAAGTCAAGGCGAGAGGATTGCCTGAGCCTAGCGGTTCGAGACTAGCTGGGCAATGGTAAGACTTCATCTCTACAATATATATAGATTTTTAAAAATTAGCCAGGCATAGTAACATGCACCTGTAGTTCAGGCTACTTTGAAGGCTAAGGCAGAGGGATCGCTTGAGCCCAGCAGGTCGATGCTGGGGTGGCTAGGAACATGCCACTGCACGCCAGCCTGGGTGACAGAGTGAGACTCTGACTTAAATAAATAAATAAATAAATAAAACCAAGCCAACTGCGGTGGCTCACGCCTGTAATCTCAGCACTCTGGGAGGCAGAGGCAAGAGGATTGCCTGAGCTCAGGAATTCAAGGCCAGTATGAGTAATTAAACTGGTCTTTTTAAAAATCTCTACAATTAAAAAAAAAATTAGTCAGGCGTTGTGGAACACACCTGTGGTTCCAGCTACTTGGAAGGGTGAGGCAGAAGGATGGCCTGAGCCCAGCAGGTCAAGGCTGCGGTGGACATGAGCATGCACTGCACTCCAGCCTGGGCAACAGCGAGACTCCAACTCAGAAAAAAAAAAGTAAAACCAGTAAGTAAAACCCCTAAGTATATAACAGGATATCGCCAAGTTAGAGAGTTCAAAATAAAAAGTCATACTCAATTTAGCCTATGTATATTTTACTGCTACTATTTTTTCCCTATAGAGGCAGGATCTTGCTCTGTCACCCAGGCTGGAGTGCAGTAGCATGATCAGGGTTAACTGCAGCCTCGAACTCATGGGCTTGAGCAATTTTCCTGTCTCAGTCTTCCGAGAAGTTGGGACTACAGGCAAGGATC